TATACTGACAAGATCTTTCGCTATGGCCGGGTTCCCATTCCCACTTGGGAGAAGTGAGGAAAATTCGTGTAAAGTGCCTTTCCCAAGGACACACCGTTGGGCCCGTGGCTCGAACCCCCGAACCCGCAGCTTCACGATTACGAGTCCGGTAGCCTAACCACAAGGCCACCGACGCCACATGATAGGTAGATAGATAGATAGATCGATAGATAGATAGATAGATAGATAGATCCCCATATAAAGAGAGAGAGAGAGAGAGAGAGAGAGAGAGAGAGAGAGAGAGAGAGAGAGAGAGAGAGAGAGAGAGAGGGGGGGGGGGCAGATAAATCCACTGTGCCCCTAGAGAGAGGTGCTATCCTTCTAAAAGTGGACTAACGCTCACTTTAAATGTCTCAACTCAGTGACTATGTCTCTGGTGTATCTTATCTTTCCTGCCCACTCCCCTAGCTTTTTTTCCTTCTACCTTTTTAAATGTTGTACCCCCAACTTGAGAAAAAGAAATTTGCGTCTGGAATACAAATATCAAACAAAGCAAAGGCACTGTGTCAGATCAGATACACGGGACCTTGCACCTCGTTCAACAAAGAGTATTGTGCATCTATCGTCATTATCCTTCCCCCTCATTTTTTGTGTATGTTACTTTCTCGTAACACCTCTAATCTTCAGCATATGACCTAACTACGCTGCAAGTGCCGTAAAATTTATACTAGAATAAATGCAAATTATGTATTTCAGTTTTAGAGAGATCACAGAGTGCCTAATGATTGTCACAATGTTTTCCGCCCCAATTGTCATAGAACTTTGGAGCATAAATAAAAACTATAAATGCTTTATAACGTGTCTTCAAAAAATAAATAAAAGCTATACAAGCTTTATAACATGTCTTTCAAAACATAAATAATAACTATAAATTATGCTTTATAGCATATCGGTCACTACAACTCGCCAACTATCAAGATCAAGTCACCTGATTTAAGGCTTTCACTACTCATTTTTCCACTGAAAAATGTTTTCTTTTAATGCTTTTTCTTAGTTCAGGAAACAATGACCGCACATCCGGGTCGATATGCCGGACGATGCAGCCACATGCACCGCAGGTCTCACTGAAAAGATTAAGACTGTGTTGTGACAGAAAAAAACTGAACCTAAAGCTACATACATAAGGCTTGATAGGCCAATTCCGAAACGATAAGAAAGAAATACTTAGGTTTCATCTCCTTACGGTTGATCGTAGATTATTGAAAAATGTTTTACGCCCCCATTGACATAATATAAGATCATTTTGATGGTGGGAATCGAACTCACATCTTTTACGTGTCAAAGAAACCATTACACCGCAGACGTCAGTTCTCTTTCCTCGAAAAAGTGAGACAAATATACATATCCAGAAGAAAAGAAGAAAGTAGACATAAAAAAAGAAAGAAAGAAAGAACAGCCAAAAAAACAACATATACCAAGTCTTGGAATGTATAACGTTGGTAAAAAAAAAATCATGGAAGTGACGCAGTGACATTCAGGAAAAAATGTAGTGATCGTAAAAATATGTATATACCGTAGTCATGCAAATACAAAGTTAAAAAAGAAAACATTCTGAAAAGACTCGCCACAACCACACAAACACGTTTGAAAAACGAGGAAATAACGCCCTACAATAGATGGGTCAGATCCATGCTTTTTCCGTCGGGCAGCAACCCCCCCCCCCCACCTTTTGCTTCCTTTTCTTAAGAATAGTAACAGTTGCAGCCTTAGGTATGTACTATGTCAATTTTGTACTGATACATTATTTTGATGAGACGTGCATCATCTGAGGCTGCTGTTAAAAAAGTGTCATTCCATGTAAAAAATAAACGGACAATTGGCATGTGTGCACTGGGCCATATGTGTGCACTGGGCCATATATAACCAAGATAGAACAAAAAATGTATATTAATGAAAACTAAAAAGACAAGCCTCTCTAGAGTTATAAAACAAACAGTGGAAAGTTGAAGGTTTACAGTAAACACTCAACATTTTTAACATGATATTGATAGTATAGACTGATGCTTCTTCAACCCACACTGCCAGATCAACAAGGTCGGTATAGGCCTACACTATCCCAGCACATTGACAGTGATGTTCAGTGACGATACAAACTTCCCACACGCGAATCGGACTCGTGTCTTTTCCTTGTAACAGCAAAGAGCCTGGTCCTTATGTTTGTTTGTTTGAGTAAAGAGAAGCACATCGACACAATAGTGGCTATTTAATTCTGGAAAAAAGTAAGACAGACTGACGGAAACAACAGATGGAGGTAGGCAACGACCAAAACTTCGAGCCCAAAGTCGGCTTTTTGAGACTGTCCAGACACACTTAACACCTAAGTATCTTCTCTGTTTTTACCTTCTTTCTTTTCAACTGTTTGATATCAACGAAAGTATAAACGTTTTTTGGTGTATTCTGCAAACTGTTCTTCAAACATCTTTACGCTGAAACAAGGCAACCGGAATGCTTAGCAATGTTCACCAGCTCGACTTCAACAGACACCCCAATAATCTCATTTCCCCCAACAACTAGTTCAGAAAGTAAGGTAGAACTCAAACACGAACACAAAAGTATGGCACTGATTTTTTAAAATGCAATCTCAGTTTTACATGAGTTATCTTGAATGAGATTCTTAGATCGATGATCATGTCATATTATTTGTTTATTTTCCCGTTACTCTGCAATTAGTCACGTTGTTGTTGTTTTTTCAGAGAGAATAGCAAACCGCTCGATTGTAAGTAGTATAACAACACAGTCTAAAAGCTATGTGATACTTTTAATTCTTAAAAGTGATTTTCCAGAAGTTTAAAAGCAAACTGCGGCAAGCAAGATGTCACCCAAACCATTACATTCAACTTAAAAAAAAAGAAAAATGGATCTAGATCTAGCCAAAAAACAATATTAACGAAGAGCATGTATAATCTTATAAACTACATGTCTTTGTGCAAACCATATTATAACTGATTGCAATATATAATATTTTGATTACTAGATTAACTTGTATTATTGAACTCTACTACAAAAGTAAAGACACTTACTTCGAGTTTAAGTTGTATATGAAGGCCTCTCTAGTCTGTTTTAAGACAGAACGCTTCACCAGCTGCGTCACAAGTCATACTTTCTCCAACCCCCACATACGATTCACATTTATGGCTTGTTAAAATTACAATACTAAGACTTATCCAAATCCTTAATAAAAACCAATTTGTTTGTTATCATTAGATAGAGAATAGCCTCAGCAATAAATGAGGATAGCCCAATTTCTTAACACAAGGGGCCAAATATTATGCACGAGGGCAAGGAAGGTGATGATATTAAAACTATTATGTACATGTACTTGTATTTATAAGTAACTTATAGGTTCAGATCATGTCAAAATAAAGTATACAGATTACAGGGACAGTTTTGCTTCAAGAAAAACGTATCCATGTGATATTAGATTTAGTAATTTAATTTTGGGAAAAGAAAGCCTGACAGGAAGACATACGATGCACCCACAACAAAAAGTGGCGGACCTGCCGGTGGTGGTCTCCAGCTGCCTGCCGGACCGAGACAAACAAATCCCGACAAACTTCGCGTAGGTTTGCACAGATGGATCTACGTTTCAAATACCGGTTTCTTAATTGTTTCAGACAGGCTACGGGTACATTATTTATCCTACTAAAGATCGAACCTTTTGAAAAAAGAACATACACAAGAATTTAGAGTAAACCTGGGGAATATTACATTAAAATATTCCACTCCTTTGTAAATCCGGATGGGAAAGAATCTAACATTTAAGAAAATAGAACACGTTATAATTATAAACCTCGCTTTTATATTCGATGGCATGGAATCTTTGTTTTTAGTTAATCTTATCTTTGTTAAAGGCCTACATCCCCCTAAAAAAACACCCAACAACAACAACAACAAAAAACAAAGGCAAAACACCCTTCACATTCCATCTTTCAGCCCTGATACGAAGTAAAATTTCTGTTACTTGAGAAAATATCAAATTATCAAATTGAAAACAACACAAAACTAGAAAAGAGGACAAATCAGTGTGGAAAAGTCAAGATACATTGCAACACATAGATGAGTAAAAAACATTGTGCAACACAAATAATATTTGTATTAATTAATTGAAAACGACAGTGAAACTTATCAGTAATTAATAGCAACGTTTATAAACGGATAAACTTTGAGAGTAAGATATGGTTACAGGAGTTTGCCCTGACCTGCAAAGGATAACTGGGATGTGCTCTCCCATTTTGCTTAATGTATGTAAAGACGATGGATCTTCGTCAAGGATAGTTCCACTGTACTCAGTTTTAATTTAACAAGAACAAAAGTACTTAGCTCCTTTTGAGTCAAGACATTCAAATTTCGTCATATATGTGTGGCAGCGTGGTGAAATCAGGCGCTCGTCAAAATATGAAATCGAAGACACAAGCACTTTTCTGCCAGATTGGAACTTTTGTCAAATTTTTGATTTTTTAGCTCAACACCTTTTATACTTTACTTTTACTTTTCCCTTCCTCTAGTATTCTTAGGATGTCGAGGGGAGGAGCAAGTTTCGGTCCTGTGCTAGGTGTGTAGCGTCCTTGATAGATATGGCATGTTGTTCCAGAACCTTTTTACCCCATTCAGCCAGGTCTTTCTTGGTCTTCATCTTTATCTGAAGCCGAATTCTCCGGTGTTGTAAGCTTTAGCCGCTAGTTGTTTCTGGGTTTCAGGGGCATTCTGGTTAGATGTCCCAACCATTTGACTCTTTGACGCTGTATGAATTTTATTACTGGTGGTATTCCAGTTTGTAAACGTACGGTTTCGTTTCTTATGCGGTCTCTTCTGGTGACGTTGATAGGTTTTGCGGAGACACCTCATTTCGCATGCATTGATTTTTCTTTCTTGTGCCTTGTTAAGACCATGTTTGGCACTGGTATGTTAATGTTGGTGAGAAGATGCATTGATGAGCTGGGATTTCACTTCGGTTGGGATGTTCTTGTGACTGAGTAGGGGTGCTAGCAGGTAGGTCACTGCATTTGCCTTTTTATGTCCGCTTAAAAACACATTTCTGTGTGGATTTTTACTGAAAAACGCAAATGGTAAAGGTTAAAAAATTGCAGATTTTCAGTTTCCATGGACTCTCAAGCTATTGAAGTTTACAAACTTTGGCGGCCATTTTCTCGCTTATTTTACTTCTGAAACTAGGTAACCCCCATTTTGTTTTCAATAGCAAATATCACTTCTATTCAAGATAGAATGGTATTTTTTTTTCACCCAAAACAAGACAAAGTAACAAACTTGTAAGTTGATACAAATAATTCCACATTTCCAAAAATTGACAAGAGCTTGATTTCATCGTGCTGCCTCACATAAATATACAAACACCTACGTCCAGAAGTAATTACATGCATGTGTGTTGATGAAATTTACTTTCGTGCATGACTTCTGTTGATTTTCTGTCCTTCCAGACTCTTAGCTCTAACAACTAGACAGACAGCTCAAAGTTTGGAACAATTTAGTTAAGTGTAGAATCGTGTTGTCCATGAAAAGAAACAATAAACATGAGCATCCAGACCCGACTGATCAGACAAAAGTATCTGCCTGACATTAGGCGACCTGCAGCGGGAGAGTGTGTGGGAAGATCTCCACCTGAGCCTGTGTCGTGCCGCGCTGTACAGAGGACGTGACGCTGTCCGTGTCACTGAGCGCCCCGTGGTCTGCCCGGCCGGTACACTGGTCCCCGGGGTCAGAAAACTCCGAGGACAACTCGCGGGATCGCGGCGAGGGTGTGGAGTTGAGCGAGTCGGCCGCCACGGTCAACGTGCTCGTGTCGTTGCATGAAGAGTTGGCGCTCAAACCCCCCGTCTTGATGGCAGCGGGCGAATCTCTGGTTCGACTGGTGCTGCTTGGGCTGTCCTCTGGGGCGAATATATCCGTGCGCACGGAGGTGTACTCGCCTTTCCTGCGCGCCCGGTGGTGCTGATGGTGTGGGTGAGCGTGATGGGACTGCTGGGTGTGGTGGTGGTGGTGGTAGTGTGCGTGCAGTCGTTGGTGGCGGCGGGGGTCTGTGTCCCTATGGTAGTGGGGTTTGCTGTCCGGGTCCGTGAGGGGTTCGAGCTCCCGGCTATGCCTGTGGTGGCCGTGGTGGTGGCCGTGGTGCGAGTGCTCGCGCGTGCTGGTGCTGGAGGAGCTCAGCGTGGACTCGGACAACGCGTAGATCGTCTTGTCCACGTGCTCGCGCGAGGCGGGGGCGCAACAGTCGGACGCCGGCCAGTGGAACTGTCCAAAGCCACCGTGGGGGCCGATGATGCGCAAGAGGGACTGGAAAAAGAAGGTGGCGTACAGCCAGGCCAGTCCGACGAGCAGCAACAGGAAGACACCAAACTTGCGGTAGGCCAAGATGGTGGAGGGCATCATGAAGGCGCCGGCGAGCATTGTGGTCAGCGCTGCCATGGACACCGGACTGCCCATACGGCCGATGGAGTTGATCACGCGCATCTCTCGGCCCACGTCCGGGGCCAGGCGGAAGGCCACGCCGTAGTGCAAGGTCAAATCGATGGCCAGACCCACGGCTACAGTGATGACCACCGACTCCAGCACGTCCAGCTCCCACTCCATCAGAACCAGACAGGCAAGCGTGACCGATATGGTGGCCGCTACAGCCAGCAGGGCGTACATGCTGATGAGAACATTCAGAGTGGTGAAGAAAGAGACTATCGCCACCACAGCTAGGGACACTCCCAGCGCTAGCGGGGTGCCCACGGCAAGAGATGATTGCAGGTCAAAGAAGTGCAAATGACTGATGAACCAACCGCGGCGCATCTCCATGGGGGCGTGCAGCAGCTCCTCGTTCACCCATTGGTTCACCTGACGGTAAAACGTCTGAACAGCCTCGTACGAGTGACTGAACGTATGGTTGCTCAGGAACTGAACGAAAAAGGCGCTAATTCTACCATTGTCAAACCTAGGACCAGGTGAGTGACTGTTGTAATGGACATACGGGGTTGCACGGACGAGTGGGATGTAGTTAGACAAACACGACACCATTTTGGACTCTGAAAATGGGTAATTTGTGTGGTTACAGCATTCTGTATCCCTAGTAATACAAGGCTGCCTCATATAATCATGAGTAAACTTCTCTAAGAAGCAATCCGTAAGCTGCAGGCCTGGGGTCTGCAAGTAGAAATCTGTCCGCCGCAATTTGGCGCAAAAGTCTAAAAGCCACCTCTGAGCGTTAGGCGTGGTGAGGTCAAAGTGCGGGTCAAAGGTTAACGAGCCTCTGTTGTAAGGATCCAAAGGGTCTCCGTTGTCGGAGGCGAGAATCCCCCACACGATCGTGATGGGAAACATAGGCACGTCATCACCATCTTTCACACGCTCAAAATCAAACATATCACTGAGCTCGAAATCATAGCGCTCTAGCAAATGATCAGATGCGAACACCTGAAACTTGTGCGTGTTTGGCAGCTTCAGGCGAGGGTAATAAAATATGACTAGGATACTAGCGAGCCACAACCCTCCGAACAGAAGTATCCACAGGTAACGGAATTTGATAACAAGGCACGGCAGAAGCTTTTCAAAAAATATCCTTGACCAGTCGGTGATGAGGTAGTAGATCTTGTAGGGGAACTTACACACGCAGAAACACAGGCGGTAGTCCCCGTTACTGAGTCCGACACAGCACCGGCACCACTTCTCGTAGAGCATGACGGAGGCCGGGAGCCAGGTGATTGTGAGCACGAAGTTGATGAGCATGCAGGTGCCGGCGAAGATGCTGAAGCAGCGGATGGCGCTGATGTCACTGATGTAGTTGGCGTAGAAGGAAGTGGCCGTGGTCAGGCTGGTCACGAGCATGGACAACGCTGTGTGGCGGAGCGTGTCGCTCACGATCTTCTCCAGTACGCCGTTGTTCTTCTCCGCCTTGGCCAGATGCCACACTTTACAGTAGATGTAAAGGTCGTCAGCGCCCACGCCGATGATAACGATGAGCGTCACCATGTTCATGTAAGGGAAGAATTTGATTTTGAACACAAACGTGTATAGGAAGTAGGCGACTTCTACTGCCCAAAACATGGATAAAAACGTCATGAAAGTCACAAAAATCGATGTTGTGTATAGCCACATAGCAACAAAGATAACCCCACATGCGACCCCTAACCATACGGAATCCAGTATCAAATACCTCTCAAATAGAGTATATTTCACACCGAAATACGCTCCGACAACACGGAGACCTTTGAAGTCCCTGGGCATGCTCTCTAAATGCTGAAAAATTTTCACAGAAGCAGAGCCCGCTACAACTGGCAAGAACATGGAGGAGAATTTTAAATAAGACTCGGACCTCCCTAAAGGCAAGGAGTGGGCGGAGGAGGGCATGTAGGACGGCGTCCCGGGAAACAAAAAGGTGGAGTCGGCGAGGAAATGCAGGATGTGATACACAGCGTTGTACTTCTTGCACCTCTGTGGCACGCCAGGGCAGGGCCGAGGCGGATGCTGGGGGCTGTAAAACCAGGCGTCCACGTCACCCGCGCAGTTCGGGCCCAGCGAGAAGTTGTGGAAGAACGGGGCGCATCGGGTCAGGAGCCGGCGGACCACGGTGACGTCACGGGCTGTGATGGCCTTGCAGGAGGACCGGCCCCGGAGCAAAGCAACGTAATTGGCCAGAGACCAGGCCGGACAACAGGAGCCATCTGCCTCGCGACGTATACAGATGTCCTGGTACGACTCTGTCTCTTGGAAATAGGTGGTCTCCATGCTGCACATCGAGCGTAGGTCTTCATAGTTGAACAAACTGCGACTCCGAGACGAGGTCACGACAACTCGGGAGTAGCCTTTGTCTGAGGATACAAACATACAAAACACAAGTGTTCTTTCCAAGAGGCCGAGATGACAGGGGAAAACTTTATGGATCTCTTTTCAGGGAGTTTTGGTTCTATCCCGACTACCGTAACAATCAATAGAAGTAGTAACAACCTATGCATATATACATTTTTACAATTCTAAACTCATTTATTGAAAAATAACGGACTGATGAGTTCAATAAATAGGAAGCACTTTAATGACAATGTTTACGGCCCCATAAGCATAATTTAGATTTGTTAGAAGACGGCGTGCTTCGACCCTGCCAGCCAAAGTCAACCAGGGGTAAGTGGGAGACGGGATACAAAGAGAAAAAACGGAGATATTCGATAAAGTAAAGTTCGAACTTGCATCTTTCGTGTGCGAGACAGACAGGCATAAAAAGAATTCTATCTTTATTGTACAATCTTATATAATCAGAGACAAAAATTCTTGTTTGCACTACATCACAATTAGTAAAGAGGTTACACCTCCTGCTGTCTGTTGGGTAGTTGCTCTTCTTAAGACCGCCTAGTCCGTGTAAGGGGAGAGAGGGAAAGAAGGGGAAAAAAGAAGAAAATGATGGGGAGGGGGAGATAGGGACGGAAAATACTGTGGTGGTTCTTCCTAAGACCGTCCCAGCCCAGAGAGAGAGAGAGAGAGAGAGAGAGATAGGTAGATAGATAGATAGATAGATAGATAGATAGATAGATAGAGATAGAGAGAGAGAGAGA